TACTCAAGCGACAAATGCCACCTGTCATGAGCTGGGATTACTATGAACTCAAACTGGTAGTAGCCAAAAGTTACAAAAGTCATACCAAAGACTTTAACATGGTGCCACGGGGAGAAGTTAGCCCTTGGCTCTAATATGTTCATTGGGTTTGGCCCTTTGGGGAGACTCGTGGCTGTGGAGTATGGCAGAGGTTTTAGGTCGGCCTCGAACCCGACCAAGGCGGCTAGGGAGTCCCACTCTACCAATTGGAGCCAAAGTATAAGTGTATGTGGAGGCACTCATGCTTTGGTCATGCACTTAAGCTTTGGGGCGCTGATCAATGCATTGTATTGATCTTTGTGCTTCTAGCAATGGAAAGCACCGTGAGGTTAGGCCTTTGCAGGCAGGTACTCACGTTAAACCACAACGGACTCTGTCAGTAGTGATGTGGGAGTCAAGACGCGATTACGACGTCTTTCCGTTTGATGGCAGGAGATATTTCGTCTTGCCCTTGTTCACTGTCAGATCCATTTATTTCGCTTCTTTGTCAAACTATTTAGTTCTGTAAATTTGATGCAATCTTTGCGATTGATTTTCAATGAGTTGTTGTGAATATGAAGCTTTTAAAGCTCACGCTTGTCCCTACTAAATAAATAGTAATTCCATATAAAAACTTACTATACAATACTTTATCGTAAACAAAGTTTTTACTAATGATGATGTGCAAAACTAAGTTATGACTGATGTGTTTCATGATAATAAGAACTGATTTATAGACACACTAGTTCTTTTTACTATGCTTTTCAAACAAACCATTTGTGCTTAATGCCTGTTATGTTATATTCCCGATATCCGCGATATTCATGATTTTCATTTAATGTATATCTGTAATTAAACAAGTATAATAAAAAGTAATATCAAAGATTGATTCTTAATAATTATAGCTAATTGAATGCGCATATACAGGTATACAAATTATATATTAGTGTAGGTATTTCAGCAAGACTAGTTGGTTGCTTAGATGGTCATTTTTGTCGTCTTCTCGATCTTGAATTTTGTTGACATGTTATTGACTTGAAATATGGCTAAACCAGAAAACGTATTAGGCGAATTTTGGAGTTTCAAAAAAATCCACGTGATTTATTACATTCAATTTCTAGATGCGCATAGTTGTTACTTAAGCAATCATTTGTTAGATATTTGAAGCAAGTTGCTTTGGAACAAGTATAAAACGTATAAAATGTGCATATGTCGTCCCTATCAAAGTAATACCGCTTACTATTGTACCAACATTATTTTTTTCCAATCTTCGAAACAATAGTTGAAGTCAATTTCCGGATTAGCCTTCAATGCGCACTTAATTAATTAGCGATTAACGTTAAAAGTCTTTAAATGACTCATAATGGTTTTTCCAAACCGTTCGTTTGAACTCACAAGGAATCAATGCAGTATGAGACGGTAGATTATTGTGGAACAAAAACCAAAAGCTGTCGGCCCATAATTCCGAGCTAACAAACAGCTTCGCGCAAATGACGAATAATATTCAAATAGTTTTTCTTATTGACAGTTTAGCCGGAGTGCACCACATCTCTATTATCGAAGAAAACTAGCAAAACATAACACCTTGATTTTTGAACCGTTCAGACGTGGTTTTTCGGCTTTGGCCTACCTTCGCCAGGATATCCGGCCGATTGATCGTCTGTTTCCGGGTTGTAAACATAGATCCAAGACTCATCACCAGTAATATTACGTTTCGCAACATCCTGATAGTCGGTAAATATTGTTTCAAGGACGTTAACGCTAGATTGTTTTTCGAAAAAATTGTGTAATTTTGAATCCAATCGTGCTTTCACTTTTCACAAGCACAAATGATCTTTCAAAATGATTATCGAAATTTCAATGATTCCAGTAAGATCTGTTAGTCATTGATTCTCAAGTATCAATTCATTTATTTTATGGACGTGTTTATCATCACTTGTTGTTGATGGCCGTTGTGGACGTTTGACCGCGACAAAATATTATCACCGAAGGCCATCTTCAACATTTCAACAAGGCTTCCGAATCGTTCAACTTTAGCGTGACTTTCTCTCATAGGTTTTTACACTCGCCTGGTATTAAACATTTAGGGTTCAGACATCAGTTGGAATGGAGGAATAAATAAAAAATTGCTTAACTTCGACAATTTAATTTAAGAGTAAAAAAATTACACAAATGTTTTTCATTCAATTGGACAAGTGCGATTCTCTCCGAACAGGGTTTAGTTACTTTAATACGATTTGGTCAGGTGCTATTGTAGGTGCTCACTTAGCACTTAAAAGCTGTTTCATGCGCATGCCTCATTGCCCTCGCAATAACTATAATTACTGTATCATAAAATATAATTTCGTAAGACAGCGTTTAAGTGAGAACTCAATTGGCTAAACTGCTCTTGATCCTCATATTTGCATGACTTTGCTACAAAAATGCGGATAAAATTCAATGAAATATGTGATTTCCCATCACTGGTTGCCGAATGAAAACCAAAAGCAAGCACATACTCAAATGCAAATATATTTGTAATTCTTTCTCATACTCAGATTTTCCTCATATGTATTTCTTACTCACTTTTTGCTCGTTTTATGAATGAATGCTACTACTGTATATTTAAACTTATAGTTGTAAATATTTGAATACGAGGAAGTCGGATAAGTTGCCGCATTCTTTTTTGCGCATATGTATACAAAGATTGGTTTTTTCGTAACTCGAAAGTTTGGTTACTAACAACTTTAAGCGCAAACCAGTTTTTTAACAGTTAAGAAACGATACAGTTTAGGAATCTGACTTGACTTCTTTAAAAGAGGTTATCTAAAAGACTGTCAACTTATCAGAATTTCTCAAAATTATTTGGTGAATAGTTTCTGTCCCTATAAAAGAAAATAACTTTACATCTGTAAGCCTAACTTTATCTCAGACTAGAAAACTGTTCTACGCCAATTGAGAAGAAGAAGAAGATAACTAAGAAATTAAATTCGGGAAAGTGAAAACAATGAAGAAATTCGCTACATTTTTAAATTATTGCATGAAAAGGGAATAATGCCATGCAAGCGTAGAATGAAATTTGTGTAGTTTACGGAGACGATGCCGTATCAGTTCGTGTAGCACAACAATGGTTCGAAAAAATTGACCAGGACAGTCACATAGGCAGCCATGACATTGCTAAAGAACTTAACAATCATCATCAAACGGTTTTGATCCATTTAAAAAGGGCTGGCTATAAAAAGGAGCTCCATGTTTGGGTACCACATGAATTGTCTGTGAAAATTTTAATGGACCGAATTAGCGATTCTTTGCTGAAACAAAATCGAACCATTTCTGAAGCTAACGGTAACAGGTGTCGAAAAGTGGATCAACTACGATAATAATAAGCGTAGAAGATCATGGTTCAAGCGTGGTGAAGCTCAACAAATGATCGCAAAGCCGGGATTGACATCTCGAAAGGTTATACTGAGTGTTTGGTGGGATTCTAAAGGAATCATTTACTATCAGCTGCTCCAGCTTGGTCGAACGATTTATTCTACATTTTACTGTCAACAACTGATGAGATTGAAGCAAGCAATCGAAAAAATCGGCCAGAACTAATCAACAGAAAGGCTTTCGTCTTCTATCATGACAACGCTAGACCACACACATCTATGATGCCTTAATGGATTGAAAATGTGAAAATTACTTGTCGCAGTTTTTCGCCGAGAAATCAGAAAAGTTTTACACTGTTGAAATACTGTCTCTAGCGGAAAAATGACTAAAAGTGGTCGACCGAAATGGTACATACTTGGCTCATAAAAGTTCATTATAAATATAAAAAAAAAAAAGTTGAAATTTGATTAGAAATACGAAAAGATTTTTCGACTACCATTATTGATAACAAGCCTGTTTGGTTTTATAATAATACCGATACATAAATCGGAAAAGGAAAACTACTTCTTGCTAAAATTTTATAGACTGATATGTTTAATATCCTTCGTACTAAAACGTACGTAAAGGATCTGTGACGACAACTCACGCACAAAGGTTCGAATTTAGGCAGCGCGATCTCCATATCATTTATCTGGGTGTCACACAGGAAGCATCTTATCCTCCTCGTTTTGTTTCACTTTTATCAAGAAACTAACACTTCTACTCGAGAGGGAGAATTTTAAGATCGTCCACGGCTACGCGTACGCGTCCATCCAACTTATAGTGTATAGTAATAAGTATAGGGATGAGGATAGCTCATGTGAATACTAATGATTCAACTTAAGAAGCATTCGGTGGGCTGGGGTGGAAGAAAATCAGTTTTATTTTTTTTTCCAAAATCCAGTGAGTTACTGGTTAAGGCTTAATTATCCGTATTTATCTAACAACCCTTACAATTGATTGCTGATTTATGTGCACTTGTCATATCACTTTTATTTTCGTTATCTGACTGTGGGATTTCCTATGTTTGTACAATTTACATAGGTATCGTATAGGTAGACGCTTAGTAATTCCTTACGATGTCGTAAACTTCTCTCTTCTTCTCTTTTTCTTGCCAATAACGTCATTAGCGTTATTAGCCATTTGTAACCGTTCGTGAGCTGTTGCCCTTTTCGTATTCTTTATTCTCTTTTCATTACGGAATGTCATCATTATTTTCGTTATTTCATTTGCGGTTGTGATGATTTTTACTTTGATTAGTACGAGTATGTTTCAAGTCCAGTTTCAATCTGAGACCGGTTTAATCGGAGAGTAAAAAATTTAAAAAATCTATTCGATTTTGTATAACACACCCAAGTACATACTTATGTGTATGCAAAACATGTACATACAAACATGCATGTACAGAAATACATATGTATTTGAATGTTGTCGAACCGCTGGTGTCTTCTAATCTAGCTGAGAACAGAGATGTCTTAAAACAATCATTAATATGCATATGTGAATACAGGTATTTGGTTATTTAGGTATCAACTATTAATTATGGCATTTGCAAATTCGAAACGAAAGCGAAATATTGAATAAAATTGCTTTTCAAGTTTCAGTCAGTTTTGTGATCTTCAAGCAGCCTCAACATGGCATCTGCTAAGCTGGTAAGTTTCGTATACACTCAAGATGATTTTGGTATACCGCGCAAAGGAGTGGAGTACATATCGTGTCTTTTAGAGTACAACAAAATATTTTGCAAAATTGATTAAAAATTAAGGAATCAAAAATACTAGTGGGTGTACAGAATGTGAAGAGTAAATTCGAATCAAAATCACTTTAGTAAGTTTGCAAAGTATGAACAAGCATTAAAGTCAAATTTTCTTTTTTGAAATTTTTTCGTGATCAGAAGTGATATATTCATAATAAATTGAATAAAATAAATTTATAACACAAATTTAGAAAATATCTGAAGTGGTTACAAGATTTCACAATATGTCAGCATAACGTTTTTGAGGGAAATCTTCAGAAAAAAAAGTTAAAAGCTAACTTTTGCATCACCGGTTAAAACCTAGGTCAGTTAAGACATTGTGTTTAAAACAAAAACACCTATTGGAATATTTTTTGCGTTTTATCTGATGCATGTTTGCTTATTTCTATGGAAATTTAACGCACGCGCGCTGAAGGTCTAGCTAATAGTCATCTTAAGCCGGTCACGAAATTCACGCGAATAAAATGCACTAAAACACTATCGAAAATATGTTACATATGAAATGGTTATACCAGGGAAAATAGTCATTTATCATTATGAAAGAAATTATAAAAAAATGTTATTAATTTATATTACACAGAGTTGTTAGTTTAAGGTGGACTCTAAAATAAACAGGAAAAAAACAGAATAAATGATTTTTTCGGCAAAATCAATTTATTTTATTCAAAATATTCTTCTTCTGCTTCAATACAGCGTTTTGCAAATTTAAACAAAATAAATTCTCACTGGACAATCGATAAAGATAGCAGATTCTAACGCATCATATAGATGGCGCCCCCAGCGCACGTTAGATTCAAAATGTCTTGTTTAAAAGCTAAATGTAAATAGTTACGTATTTATAACCTGAACGGGGTATATCGAGTTTGCCACGATGCTTGTAACACCCAAAAGGAAACTTTGGAGACCCTACGAAATATATATAATGGGTAGTCGAAAAAGTCTTTTCGTATTTCTAATCAAACTTCAACTTATTATACTCTCGCAACAAAGTTGCTAAAGAGAGTATTATAGTTTTGTTCACATAACGGTTGTTTGTAAGTCCTAAAACTAAAAGAGTCAGATATAGAGTTATATATACCAAAGTGATCAGGGTGA